TGCATTATACTTGTTCTCTAACAAAGTTGTCTTTCAGAAGGTTTAATATTTTCATTCCGTATAACCATAACGAAGGCAACCATCCCCATATATGACATCCTGTTACAATCGACATCTCGATGTAACAATCCAATATCATTACACGACATGCACTTTACAACTACCGTTTATTAAATAAGACAAATTTTTGAAGGTTCATAAATTAGATTGCCATTTCAGTGTCATTCGTTTACCCCATTAAAAGCGTTAACCCATAAAAGTACTGACCCGAATATTCTCAGTAAAGCTACATAAACATTAACTCGATTGACTCCACGTAACTCGGTCAACCTCGACAATGCTGTACACCCTTTCGAGTTTCATCTTTATCGTTACTAGCAACCCGTTGGTCTGCGACAAAAAAAGGAATATACCCCCTCACGGATGAGTTGGTCACGAGTTCTCGAGAATTTCTAAATTTATAATCGTATTTCGAAGTTCGACCGTATACTATCGGACCGCTGACACTCGGGTGTGCGCGTGTTAAGAACATTTTCAGACACTTGCAATTCAAACTGAATGTTTCAAAACGTAAATGAGTATGAATACTTTATGGGGTCTCTAAATAGGGTATCGCAAGGTTAGGGTATACCTTCGCTGTTATGTTCTCTGAGGTACAAGAAAGAAGTAGATAAGCAAATAAAGATAAAATATAATTCAAATAAATATACGTAAATTATAATTGGATACGAACAAAATAAAATACATGTAAATACAAATAAACACATATCAATATAATTACATACAAATAAAATAGAGCACAAATAAATATAAAAATCATTCATTTTCATAAAAATAAAATAGAATAAGTATGTTCAAATATAGAATTTAATTTAGTTTAGAAAATTATCTCAAAAATCTTTTGTATTGAATATTTTAAAAGTATAAAAAAGATTTAAAAATTTCTACTTTGCAAATAATAAAAGCAGTAAAATATTCGGAAAATATAATTAAAATAAATGATAGATGAAATATTCTAAATTAAAAAGTTATATTAAAAAATTCGACATTAACAAGATTTTGTATTTATTTAAAAAATTTCTATTTTACAAATATCAGCAGCGTTGAGCATTTAAAATACATTTAAAATAATAAATGATTCTAAATTGAAATATTGTACACAAAAGTTTGTAATTTACCTTGACAACATTTTGCGCAAAATATTTCAAAGAATCGATGCACGTATGAGTTTCGAAAATTCCTGTTTTGCAAATAGTAGCAGCAGCGTCACCCCAGGGTAAACCTGCGAACTAACCCCATTGATTTTTCGCCGCGAGCGTACCGCCACCGTTCTCGTTTACCAAATAAGGAGACTCCGAATCGCGCCACTATACAACCCAACCCTCAACGAGCATCATGGCCGTCCGTTGACTGACAGTTGTTGCACTTTCTTCGGGTACTTGTTGACCATTCCCGGACTTCGGCTTTCACCTGTCATCGTCATGTATTCGCGTTATCGGTCGCGGTCACGGTGAGTTCGTAAAAAAAATTTCGTAAACGTTTTACAACGAACCACGTTAAATTTTGATCCTGTCGACCTTCAAGAAGTGAATTCTCTTTCTGCACCCTCGGACCGGCTTTATTTCGAATGTGACTTCCGGATTTCGGAAGTTTATGTGACGTTTGCTTAGAAATCGTTTTAGCCCGTGATTTACGAACGGTGGTTATGACATTATCGTGATAATATTTTGCCGATTTCGAGCACGCTTCCGCGTGGAATTTCGAACGTAAACATTTATTCTATTCCCATGCCGGATAACGTTATTTCCGATCGCTCTTAATCGATCGGAACAGAAACGCCGTGGATCTAAATTAAATCTTATTCGATTACGTATCCGTTTGGCTATGGCAGAATTGAAATAAGAAATACGATGAATAGTGAAATAACTTGATTGGTGTGTGAACTTGCGGATGTGGAATTGTAATTCGAAAAATAGCGAATAATTTGAAAATCTGGATGATTCAGCGTGCCGGGAGAAATTTACGGTATATGTGTTTTTCTGCTAAAAATAACGGAGACATTCGTCCGTACATTGGAATCTGTCGGAGACAATTTTAGATTCAGCAAACTCGATCGTTGTCCTCTCACATGTGAGCACTCCCTGCGGTCTAACGTTTGTCAGGATTTTTAGTAAAATCCTGAAATAAAATTAGCGAAACTGACACAAAGTTTGTTGTATTTCATGTTATTAATTTGCTGTTTTTGACAAGTGACAGATTGCTGTTCATTACAAAACCATTTGGAATTTCTAGTTAGGTTGCGGAAACTGAACATGATCTCTATGCACCTCATTTTTAACTTTTTTAAGTAAAACAGACAAACAGTCTGTTCCAATGGACAAACTTCCATTTTTATTAAGGTTTTCATCAAACACAATTTTTTTTTTATTTATTTAAGTTTAATGTTGCTTTTAAAGTTTTTCTGTTTAATTTCTTTGTTATTGTATACCATATTTAGAAATTAGTGGATATTTTGTAGTAGAGTTGTGGATTAATTTTTGCTGCTTTTTGTTTCAAATACTTTTGAGCTATTATTGGATATTAAGGGTTTATGGTGCTTCTGTGCCACCACAATCCGATGAAATATGTTCGGTGGTTAATCCCTATTGACAGGATTCATAGTATGATGGGATTATTTTGTCCATAACGTAGTTTTGAGTAGTTGTGGTTGAAACATTTTTCTTTGTTTCTACCATCGCATCTACTACAATGGTTATTAATAATAATAATAGTCATTAAATTGCAGTAGTAAATTATTTTTTTAAGGCAGATCTTATAAGCTGAATTTACAATAAAAAATGGCACATTTGTAGAAATTTAAAATAGTAATGGATTACGTCTAAATTTCAATGTGTTGAAGTTTCAAAATTGCATAAATCTAAAGCTTTAGGGTATGAATGTTTCAAAATCTAAAAATTTTTTAATTCCAATGTATCAGAAATTCTGAAATTGCAATATCCTAATATTCAAAAGTTCTAAAATTCTAGTATCATAAAATCCGATAATTGCAACATTCCTATATCATAACATTAAAAAATTCTAAAATTTCAGAATTCCATAATCAACAAATATTAAAATTCCATTGTTTCAAAATAAAAAACCTCTAATATTCTAATACCACAACATTAAAAAATTCTAAAATTTCGAAAGATTTGAAGCTTTAAAGTTTTAAATTTTGAAATATAAACTTTCAAAGTTGGAAATTTCCAAATTTGGTAAATACAGAAGGTTCATAGGTATACTATCTAGTACTTTTTGCGTAAATAGTAGAAAATTAAAAAAAATAGAAGATGAGAGAGTTGTAATATACTTTACTGTACACAAGGATATATTACGTTTTTATACTTCAATTATTTATTGAGAACTGAAGATCTTTAGTTTTTTAAATAAAATTCTATGTATTCTTCATGTCATCTGAGCGTGTATCAAAATTTGCGGCTAATTGTGTTCTTTTTTTTCTACGGCACTCATTTCACCCAAACATTTTGCCGCTAAAACAAACTGGTGTTCACTTGGTGCTACTCTATTTAGAAATTCTTCTCGGTACTTTACTTTGTTATGTCCTTTATTTTTACTGCTCTCGTAATGAATGCGCACCATTTCTGTTTTCTCTTAAATAACGACACGTTGCACTAAAATATCACTAAACGCTTTCTGAAACAACACTGCGACAGCAACAACGCAAGCTTAATCATAACACAAAGTTACCAAAAGTGTATTCTAGCTAATTGAAGTCACATTGAACACGAAATGAGAACATATCTATAATGAATATCGGTAAATAGTAATACGAAATATTCAAAGTATTTCTTCTGTTTTCGACCTTGGTTGACCCAAAGGCCATCGTATGTTCACAGTTGAACTCGTTTTGATACACACTTTCATATGATATAACAGAATACGTAGCAATCCATTTAAAAAATTGATCGCCATCATTTCTCGAGAAGTAATGCAAGTATAAAAAGATGATATATGACCTAGTGTTGCCAGTGAAATATATTATAACTCTCTCCTCTTCCATTTTTTTGAATTCCTAAATGCTTACTCAGAAAGACCTAGATACTATCTATCAATACCTTGTATATTTTTCATGTCTTATGTGCTGTTTTTATTGCTTTTAACATTACACCCAGTAACGAATAGTTTTTGTTATAATATTTATATCTCTTGTAGAATTTATTCCATGAATATGTAATTTATATATTTTCTATATTTCTTATAGAATGTTCTGAAATGTGTTTTTCCTCTTCCATTTTTTTGAATTCCTTGCCATTTACGCAAAAGATGCTAAACAGTTTAATTTATAGACTCCTTGTATGTAATAAGGAGATATAAATTGGTGGCAACAATATAACGCAACATGTAATAACAACGTAATTTTTGATATAGCGTGGTATTTAATCATGAATACGCCATGTAAGACGTGCGGCTTCTAAAAATTTCAAAGGGTACCATTATTGAAAGTTTCAAACATTTTCATGAAATCGTTTCATCACAATGTTACAAACGATACGATTTAGGACTAATAAAAGTTTAAGGACGGCATTAGATTCCGCTTCAATTGACGTTATGTCCCCCTGAATCTTTCATCATTTCAGGTGAGGTCAGCATAGATTAGCTTCGTTGGTCGGAATTAACAGAAGGTTCATTTCTCGTTGACGAGTTCGTAGAATTCGTCGAGGTCTGCGTTTTGCGTGCTTTGTGTTCGTACATGTACACTCAATCATAAAAGTCTTCGTGTACGAAATTTATTTCCAATATTTGTAAAGTACTTTTCGTAATAAATTAAGCTTCCTTTACATCTTCTAAATTGCAAAACTTTTATTTTTGGAAATAAATACTGAATAGTCGAATGCAGAACTTAGAACAAATTAAATATAGTTGCTGGTATTGAAATGCATCAAATTATGAATGAAAACATTATTTTATTTTTATTTATACGTACGATGCTCTTTTTTCAGATGCCTTTCATTTTATAAATAATATCCACTGAAAGAAACTCTCAGACTGAAGATGGGCAAGCTTTTGAGTCTCCTGGCTCGAGATGAGTCTACCTGTTGCACGCCTCAAAAATACGATGTCTTTTTGGATTTTGAAAGTAAGTACCTCGAGTACATTTACTTAAAAATTCCTTTGAAATTGCGTCTTTGTGTGCTGCTTGTATTTCTTATTCAAACTTCACTTTCCTGTTCAATAGAATATGATGTTCAGATATTATCGGCTCAGAAGATGGAAATTTTCAAATTTTGTTTTAAACAGCAAGTGATATTTAAATGTGTAGTTAATATCTATTTACTTGACATTGATATGTAACTTAGCTGAGAAAGTTAAACTCAATTTTAACTTTATCTTATCGATTAAATACGCTGGGTGAAACCTCGTATACGTTGATATTAACTTCGTCTGAAACTAATTAGTTTTAAAGGGGTGTAGCGTTTTTTAGGGAGATATTCGATTACAAATTTAATGCACTGAGATTCTAAAAGGTATTCATTGTTTTATCCATTTGTAGAATTGTATTTCAATGGAAAGTTATTATTAATCATGTTATGTGATGATCTTTGATTCTCTATATTTCTGCTCTTTTAAAACATTCTTAAGATTATTTTCAGCACAAAATTTCGCTAACCAAACTTCATACTTTTATTTTTGACACTTTTATTATATATACAAATCTGCAGGGTATCTAATAACAATAATAATAAATCTATTACTCTATCTAACAAATCTAGTAATCAATCTATTAATAACAGTATAAAGGACATCTCTAAAGTCTGACCCCACTCTTACATTTTGGAAGCAGCTTCAAATACAGAAAGTTGTAGCATATCAAGGGAGACATAAAATAATGGCAACAGTTTGACCTTGGTTGGTCGTTTAAACATCTTCAGTTTCTTAAATAGAACCTCCTTTTTCATTGCACATTGTAGCCTTCGTCAAGACGTTTGCAAACCACTTATCTTTGTTTTTTGTGCAAGTCATTCCCATGGTATGAAGCTTCACAGTTGACAGATCGTCGACATTGACATTACCCAAGATGCATTGCGTAGGTTGCATCAAAACGCCACCTATGTGTCAACTTTGAAGCGTCATACCTTGAGATGACTTCCATAAAAAACGTAGGTAGTTTTGAAACGAGAGCTACAGTATGCAATAAAGAATGGGGTTCTGTTTAATAAACTGTTGTGACTTCAAACAATCCAAGGTTAAATTGTTGTCGTCATTTTACGTCTTGATGTCCTATAACTTTTATCCATACTTAACGCCGTTAGCAAAATACAAAGGGTCTTTAGAGATACTCTGTATGTTATTATTACAAGTAGCAATTATTTTGTAGGTTTAACCCCTTCCCGTACTTTGATGAGTCGACGCACTTATAGCTCAAATGTGACAAACCTTACTCAAATTTTGAATACCCTTCAACTTGAAATTTAGGTCCAGCTATAAGTTACATTATCAAGGATCCCTGAATATAAAATAGTTATAACATTTTAATTTTCTTTGTTCGTTTTAATGTTATAGACCTGAATAGTTAGTCTTGACTGACGCATCTGTTACATAAATGGCACGAGAAAGGTTTAATAAAAATGATCAGATGATGATATTTAGTAATATTTTTTGAATTCCAGACGCACAACCTTCTGACATAGAACGAGAGACTTTTGAAGCGGTGCAAAGGGTTCTGAAAAATTCAGAATCCATCTTGGAGGAGATTCAATGTTACAAAGGGGCTGGGAAAGAAATCAGAGAAGCGATTTCGGCGCCTACGGAAGAGTGTCAACGGAAAGCTTATCTGACCGTTGCCCCTCTCGTCGCGAAGCTGAAAAGATTCTATGAATTTTCATTGGAACTCGGTAAGTGTTCATTTTTACGTCTTATTTACACCTTATTTAATCTTGCATGTAAAACTTATCTCCTTGTGCTTCGACGAGTCTCACTAGCGACGCACTTAATTAAATGTGAAATGTTGACTCAAATGTGACACTTATTCAAATTTTGAATACTCAACTTGAAATTTAGATACGACTATAATTTGTGTAATCAAGGATCGTAGAATATAACATTTTAATTTTGTTTGTTTGTTTTAATATTATAGTTATGAATAAATTTGACTCATGCATCTCACAAGTAAATTGTAACTAAAAATGTAAAAATGTAAAAATCTATGAAACACTGGAATACTGACTTGTAAAATATTCCAAAAATGAATGCACCTTGTATTATCAACGAAAGTAAACAAAACTAAATTAATAGATATTTGTATATTTATGGTGAATTATATACAATTCAAATATGTTCAAATTGTTATAGAAGTTTTATACAAAGTCAAAGGCAAGTTGAAAAAATGGCGCCGAATATGAAATACCTGATTTTAACACTAAACCTACCGACATATAATGTGTACTCAATTTGAAATTAAAAATGAAGTTAAAAAATAAATAAATAAACGACGAAACATAAATTAGTACACATATTTATTCTTTACCTTGATGAAAATCAGTGCTGATTTCAAGGAATGTACTTTAACAAAATGTGTACCTTATAATAAGAAACTTGTAGGGCGGTCATTTGACCGGCTTGGTAGTTTTAGTGTTAAAAGCTTGCTAAAATAAGGTTTCCTTTTTTAACGAAATTAGCATTACAATATGACAAAATTAGTAGACATTTGTGTGTTAATGGCAAACTATTCAAAATTAAAGTATCTTTAAATTGTCATAAAAATAAACAGGTTCAAAAACGATGAGTTGAGAACATGGGGACTAGCATGCAACACCTAACCTTAAAAGCTTGTGAAACGTAAATACTTGTCTTTTCACCGAAACTAACGATGAAATATAACGAAATTAGTAGATATGCAGGGTGTTACCTGGAACGCTACTCACGATTTTTCTCCCACTTGCAGCCACCTTACGAAAAAAAGTTTGGAACAATATTTGCAGGGTATGAAGTGGACAATAGATATTAGTAAAGCAAATTTTGAAAACAATTTGTTTTCTTCGCAAAGTCAAGGTCACCTTGGGGTTTCTAAATAGGAACATATATTTTTTTTTATTCATAGCTTTAGAGAACATCGAGACGAATTCAAAACATATATTACATGATATTTTTATTAATATATTACTCGATTAACAGAAGTGGAAATGTGAAGTACTTAGCTTTTGACTTTAGTAGTGTAATCATTATTTGGTTCCAAAGAGATTACTGAATATAAACACGCGACTAGAATGTAAGAAAAATACACTTTATTTAATTACATGTTCAAAATGTATACCGCCTTCCATCGCGTAATATTCCGGCCTTTCATTTTACATTTCCAATTCTATAAATCGAGTAATATGCTAATAAAAATATCATGTAATATATGTTTTGAATTCTTCTCGATGTCCTCTAAAGCTATGAATAAAAAAAAAATGTATGTTCCTATTTAAAAAACCCAAGGTGACCTTGACTTTGCGAAGAAAACAAACTGTTTTCAAAATTTGCTTTACTAATATCTATTTTGCACTTCATACCCTGCAAATTTTATTCTAAACTTTTTTTCGTAAGGTGACTGTAAGTGGGAGAAAAATCGTGAGTAGCGTTACAGGTAACACCCTGTATGTTAATGCTGAATTTTACAAAATTCAAGTGCCTATTCATTGTTAGAAAATTTGTGAATATGTTCGAAAAAGGAAAGTTAAAGAAACGCTAGCTAATGTAGAGTCATCTGACTTAGAAACTTGCCACATGTGAAAGCATATTATATTTTAAACGAAACTACCACTAAGATATATCAAAATTAATAAATATTAACATATTAAGTGAATTATACAACATTTAAATATTTTCAAGTTACTATAAAAATTGTAAAGAAGTTTAGTAGGGGTGAGTGAGAAAAATGGCGCCTAATATGCAACACCTGATCTGAAAAGCTTGCGCAAAACACATACATTGAAACTAGCATTGAAATATATTAAAGTTAATGAATATTCGTATAATAATGGTTAGCAATGCAGAAATATAAATATCTGCAAATTATTATTAGAATTGTAAAGAGGATCAAATCTAACCTAATGTAGGATGCATACGAAATAAATTTGTATTCAGTAAAATTATTTTTAAGGTACAAAACTAAAAAACTTTGAGGTAAATAAGTTAAATTAATACTTTCGATTCTTATCGCCTAAAGCAAAATTTGCAAAATTTTCACTCATGTATCTTAACTACTCAGTTTAGCAAAACATTTGTGAATCATACTATTTCATTACTAATTAGAGAACAGCACAAGCAAATTCGAATATAAAAAAATAATGTTACAATTAGATGAAATCCTAGATTAGTGTTCTGATTGTTACAACAGAGCAATTCCAGTATCTAGTACAAGATAAAATTATTTGTCAAATGTTTGACTCACCGGTTTTCTATTCTCCCGAAATACTATCTGTTAATAACGTTTGGTCTGTGTGCTACCATATTGTCATCATCTTTTATGTACATATTCTGATATGGATTATCATAAGCGAACGTTCTGTACCTTGATAAGAGAACAGAAAACAATATCAATCGACGGTAAATAGTGCTTTTGTGAAACTGAAGGGACTATCTGAGATATGAACATACATAGGGTTTTTCTAGACTGTTCTTGATCCCAACGTGTAAATCTATGCGTTATGTTTGCTTTTGGGATTATTTGAAGATGGCTAATTTGAGATAATTTTCTCCGTACAAATCTCCTCTGTTTGGATAGAATTTTCTGTATTTGCTGTTGGTGCGATTTTAAAAAATCGAATAAAAGTTTGATAATCTTGTACTCATTATTTGTTGCGGAAAATTCTTATGACTTTTGAGTTTAAATAAATTTAAATAGATTTGATTAAAAGATTTTTAAGAAATATGCAGGTTTGTCGAACAGAGAAAGAGTTGTATTTCATAAAGACAGTGGCTAGGCAAGTACAGTCAAGAACAAAGGGTTCCATCAGAAAAAATATGAAGTACAAGAAAGAAGAGCTATTTATTTAATTTTAGAGATTTTGGAGATTTGAGAATTGATTCAGAATTTGATGTTGAGAATTGAGAATTTTGGGGTTTTGTGATTTATGGATGGGGGAATGAAGAATTCCTGGAAACTTTCAATTACGGAAATCTTCATTTCCTAAATTGCAAATTCCAAAATAAAAAAATTTTGAAATATTTACTTTTTTATATTCTCAAATTTCCGGATTTTCATATTTAAATTTTCTAAGATCTCACATTTTTCATTCTCTATAGTTACAAATTTCTAAACTTCGTAACATCAAAAATTTGAAATTTTCAAATATTTGAATTCCTAGATTTCTAAGTGTCCAAGTTTTACAATTTTTTAATTTCCAATTTCTAAATTTCCAGATTTCCAAACTTTTAAATTTCCAATTTTCTATATTATCAAATTCTCAAATTCCTAAACATTTTAAATCCCCACATTTCTAAATTTGTCACTCCCTCGAATTTCTAAAATTCCCAAATTTTCTAATTTTTACAATTTCACGTTTACAGATTCTAAAATCCTCGAATTTCAAAATAAAAAATCATCAAACTTACTCAAATCATTAAATTCTCTAATTTTTTCATTTTTCCCAAATTTTCAAAATCTTGACATTTTCAAATTCTAAAACCTTCAAATTTCTAAATTTCTAAATTTTCCAATGAAAACCAGATTTGCTACTGACTGTACATCGTTAAGTACTCATTGTCAGGAAAAATTGAGTGAATTGGAATGGGAAGTAATCAGTCATCTTCTATGTACAGTCCTGCTCAAAAGTTATGAGATGTACGACACTTTTCCATTTTGTTTTATTCATTTACAGAAGCAAACTTTTTTTACAAAAGAGAACTGTACCGTGGAGGAAGAAAAATTATATATTACTAGAAAAAATTACATATTATAGAACATTCTATAAGAAATATAGAAAATATATAAATTACATATTATATTAATGAAATATAGCACATTTTATCACAGATATAAATATTATAACAAAAACTATTCGTTACTGGGTGTAAAACTAAAAGCAATAGAAACGATACATAAGACATGAAAAATATACAAGGTATTGATAAATACTATCTAGGTTTTTCTGAGTACGCAATCTGGCATTCAAAAAAATGGAAGAGAAGAGAGTTATAATATATTTCACTGGCAACACTAGGTCATATATCATCTTTTTATACTTGCATTACTTCTCGAGAAATGATGGCGATCAATTTTTTAAATGGATTGCTACGTATTCTGTTATATCATATGAAAGTGTGTATCAAAACGAGTTCAACTGTGAACATACGATAGCCTTTGGGTCAACCAAGGTCGAAAACAGAAGAAATACTTTGAATATTTCGTATTACTATTTACCGATATTCATTATAGATATGTTCTCATTTCGTGTTCAATGTGACTTCAATTAGCTAGAATACACTTTTGGTAACTTTGTGTTATGATTAAGCTTGCGTTGTTGCTGTCGCAGTGTTGTTTCAGAAAGCGTTTAGTGATATTTTAGTGCAACGTGTCGTTATTTAAGAGAAAACAGAAATGGTGCGCATTCATTACGAGAGCAGTAAAAATAAAGGACATAACAAAGTAAAGTACCGAGAAGAATTTCTAAATAGAGTAGCACCAAGTGAACACCAGTTTGTTTTAGCGGCAAAATGTTTGGGTGAAATGAGTGCCGTAGAAAAAAAAGAACACAATTAGCCGCAAATTTTGATACACGCTCAGATGACATGAGGAATACATAGAATTTTATTTAAAAAACTAAAGATCTTCAGTTCTCAATAAATAATTGAAGTATAAAAACGTAATATATCCTTGTGTACAGTAAAGTATATTACAACTCTCTCATCTTCTATTTTTTTTAATTTTCTACTATTTACGCAAAAAGTACTAGATAGTATACCTATGAACCTTCTGTATTTACCAAATTTGGAAATTTCCAACTTTGAAAGTTTATATTTCAAAATTTAAAACTTTAAAGCTTCAAATCTTTCGAAATTTTAGAATTTTTTAATGTTGTGGTATTAGAATATTAGAGGTTTTTTATTTTGAAACAATGGAATTTTAATATTTGTTGATTATGGAATTCTGAAATTTTAGAATTTTTTAATGTTATGATATAGGAATGTTGCAATTATCGGATTTTATGATACTAGAATTTTAGAACTTTTGAATATTAGGATATTGCAATTTCAGAATTTCTGATACATTGGAATTAAAAAATTTTTAGATTTTGAAACATTCATACCCTAAAGCTTTAGATTTATGCAATTTTGAAACTTCAACACATTGAAATTTAGACGTAATCCATTACTATTTTAAATTTCTACAAATGTGCCATTTTTTATTGTAAATTCAGCTTATAAGATCTGCCTTAAAAAAATAATTTACTACTGCAATTTAATGACTATTATTATTATTAATAACCGGAATACATAGAATTTTATTTAAAAAACTGAAGATCTTCAGTTCTCGAGAAATAATTCAAGTATAAAAACGTAATATATCCTTGGGTACAGTAAAGTATATTACAACTCTCTTATCTTCTATTTTTTTTTAATTTTCTTCCGTTTACGCAAAAAGTGGTGGATAGTATATCTATGACCATCCTGTATATACCAAAATAGTTTTGAATGATAATTGACGGTCTTTGTGAAGTTTTGAATAAATTATTGTACGGATCTGTTATCGCACGCATGCAAAGGAGTCTCGCTATATGGCCCCAAGGCACGTGGCTGTAGAAACGAATTGTGAATTGGACCATATAAACGGAACTCCTTTCATACAGCACTTGATTGTCAAAACCTTTAGAGATCTCTTCAAGCGAGAATATAGTTCTGACTTTGCAATGTCGGATTACCTGTTTAGGTCGTTATAAAACTTTCTGTGGTGAACAAGAAGACTGTTGACGAATATTTCTATAGAGACATTTAGAGTTAGAGACATTTCATGTTAGAAATTGCTGTTAACAATAAACAGTCTATTAAAGATGAAATAGTTGGTCTTATTTTTATAGTAAGTGATTAAAGTACTAAAATCACTTGCAATTGATAAATAGATAAATTACATAATAGATACATTCGATGATAGATAAATTAGGTAACAGGTAAATTATATAATGAGTTAGATAATGGATAAATTATGCAATAGATGAATTAGATAATAGAAAAATTAGATCATTGTCTAATAATTTTTTTGTATTGAAATTAACTTTTAAATAACTTTTAACATAGTTAAATACATTCCTACTATTTTTCTTTTATAATTTATATTTTTTTGTGAAGTGTAAATATTATTGCAAACATCGTAAAAAAATTCAAAGATTAATTGATATAAAGGTTAATTAATACAAGTAGTTCGAATTAATTTGATCATCCACTGTAAAATCGACATTTCAAAATATTTAAAAAAGGGACAAAACTTGTTGATCAACCCTTATATGTTAAACTAAATTCATTTTTTCAATATATAGGTACTTTTATCGATCGCAGATTTTAATTTTAGCTCGAATTGTCGAGATGGACTATTTAGTTTTTTTACGTGCAGGTGTATTCAGTATTTGATTGCGACTGCCATAACATCCGTTACAAGTAAATAGAAACGTAAAAAGTTAAATGTCGATATCGATTGAGCAATGCACCGTGAAGGATTATTGTTCAGCTTGAATATTTCTGCATACACAGTGATTGGAAACCGATATCGCAGCTTCAACATAAGTAAAACCGCTGGTAAACTTTCAAAGTATTTATTGCTTTTATTCTACATAAAGCCAGGTTCAATCAAGCGGATTGGAAATGTTCGTTAATACACAAACTAAAAGAGTAAAGTTTTTAAATATAAATTTACATAAATATTAGGTAAACTAGATTACATAAGTTGCGTACTAGGTTTTGTAATGTAAGTACACATACTATCTAAAATGTAAAATACAAAATTTGTAAAATTTTAATAAATATAGTTTAATCGTGAATTTTCAAATTCTCAATTTCCACATTAATTTTTATTTTTCCAAATTAAAAAAATTTACAAACCATGTAAAATTAAAGCAAAGACTTTAGCAGTTAATGGGTTAATTTTATTTTTGTTTCAGAAAAAGTGGTACCAAAAATCCTGGGTCAATTGTGTTCAGGGAATCTCTCTCCGACTCAGCACCTGGAGACTCAGCAGGCGTTGGTGAAACAATTGGCGGAAATATTAGAATTCGTCTTAAAGTTTGACGAGCACAAGATGAAGACTCCAGCTATTCAGAATGATTTTAGTTACTATCGGAGGACTCTGACAAGAGCATCCCTGGCGCGACAGGGTAACGCTGAAAAGGACCTCGTGGTCGGGAATGAGCTCGCTAACCGAATGTCCTTGTTTTACGCCCACGCAACACCCATGCTTCGCGTTCTGAGTCACGCGACCATTACTTTTTTGATGGATGTAAGTGATATTTCCTATCTTCTTTCTGCACTATTCCATTTTTTTGCTGTTCTACCTTATCGATTCTGCTAGCGTCAGCAGAAATTCTGAACGTTATTTTCTAACGTTACTGTTAGATTCATAATTGAACAATAAACTACATGTAGTTTTTATTTCATTTTTTATGTATATTTCACTCTTGTTTTATATTCGAATTGATTAATCATTTGATGTAAGGAAAAGGAGTTTATTTTTGATCAACGAACAATTGATTTTTTTTTTTCATTTATTGCAAACCGTTGCATGTATAAACATTGGGTTTTATGTTGGCAACCTTTGCATGCACAAAAATTGGCTGTTACATGTGTTGTCAAACCTAACTTCAATATTATAATTATGATGACAATTACAATTAACTCTACTATAACTATAATAAACTCTATTATAATTGCTGGAATGCTTAATAACTGTCTGACATTACTGTTGGGTCTAATAGCAATCTAACATTATTATTAGACTAATACTTATGTTTGACATGTGTTGTCAAACCTAACTTCAATGTTATAAGTATGATGACAATTAGAATTAACTCTACTATAACTATAATAAACAATAAATTCTACTAGAACTGCTGGAACGTTTAATAACTGTCTGACATTACTGTTGGGTCTAATAACAATCTAACATTACTGTTAGTCTAATAGCAATCTAACATTACCATTAATTTACCTTGATGTTAGAGAATTAACGTTCAAATTTGAAATTCCATTTTTATTCTATTCAGAAAAATGTTACTCAACAAACTTTAAGATTCTTTCTTTTTATTTATGACATGTAATTGCTTCTTACATTAAAGTTTAATTAAAAACTGTAAATTATCAAAATGGATAACTTCTAACGAACGATTAATTGTCATAATTAACATCTTGAAGTTAATTAGTTTTTATAAACTATTATAGTATAAAAATATATTTATTTTATTTAATTGATATGTAGGTATATTAATATTTAACAGATTTCATATTAGACATTATTTACAGTTATATATAATTTAAAATTACCAATTACTGCGAATAATAGTTGAATGAAAACATAATGTTTTATTCAAAATACAAGGTTAATGATATAAGATACAATATCTTTCTTCCTGTTGAAATGTAATTACGTGTGATGCTTTACATAATATCTAACAAACAATTATTCTTTATATTTCATGTCGTAATCATTCTATTTTCATGACATAATTTCCTATTTATGATTTTTCCGCCTTTTTGAAAAGTTTCCAAACAATTTATCTCGCATAAATTTTAAATAAGAAAGCTTTCGTTGCTAGCGTATAATATAGTGTAACGATGTGTGAAGAAAGTAAAGCAATTTAAATAACGATGTGCACTGAAGCAGAAAATTAAAAATGAACGTGAAAGAATTCAGAGAACAATAGTTCTCGGTACGTTTACGGACATAATAGATAATAGATCCGCTCAAATTGGGCTGGCTACTTTAATTGGGACAATAGAGGAAGCGGTTGTTTATTACATTATGTTCCACCCTACTAAATTATAAGTTTCGGTTTTGAAAGGAAATCTCTTACCAGCTTTTATAATTGGCTTATACAATTTTATGTACGTACAATTTTTATGCAATTTTAAAAATGAAAGTTGGATATTTAAATGTGTGCGTTAGTGAACAAAAATAAATTAGTTTGATACCCAAGATAGAGTTAACTTTAATTTAACTTGTATACATCACATAGGTTTGAGGTTAGGTTAGATTGTATCATTGTATCAGTTTTATAAGTGTTTCTTTGAATGGAATTATTTTACACTAAAATTTGATGAGTTTGAAAGCAATATTTTGAATAAAAATGTAATTGTGTCCCATTTAAATGGATGACAATGGATAACAAACAACCATTTTACAATGGCTGACATTGTAAAAAATCTCGAAGACATGAGATTTATCAAAACAAACTGACACCTTTAGTATTTTTACTGGGGAGTCAAATGACATTAATTTTTTAATGCATGGGCGTCTTCAAGGTTATTTCAAGGTCATCTCTTTTTATCATAAACCCACATGAAAGAACGAACGTCTTTTGTTTGATAGATTTTGTCAACATTGAATTCACAACAAAATTTCTTAAAATATGTACTTGATTTTTTATGTTTACATATATCAAAAATATTTTTTCTATTAAAATGATAACGTTACTTTCTTCTGGAAAATTTTTTATTTCATTTAAGAACATTATAATAAATGCTCGAAAATTTTTGCCTCAACTTCTAGACACTTATTAATTCGTTTAATACATGTGTCAGTTTTTCTTAAATCACGTATATTCGAGATTTTATACAATGAGAACTTAAAAGAGACACCCTGTATAATTTGTTATTCATTTTATATTCAACCACATATTTTATGTATTGTTTGTAAACTTCTATAAACTTTTCTTTTACGTAAAGTTTAAAATAAAAGTGTGCCTTTATTTAAATAGTTTGTTGAAATTGCATAATATTTACAAATGTATCATTTATTTAAAGAGAAACAATGTAACAATTTAATCTTTTTATGTTTTTATGAAGAAAGCCACCTTGAGGTTAATGATAACAGGTATAATGTAATAACGTAATTAGAAAGAATGTTGAATACTAAGTAAATAATTACTAGGGTGTAGAACTTCCAAAATGAGTAATTACCGAGACACTGTTCTGTAACACCTTTAGTCCCAACTGTGTCATAAAACGTATTCCACAGAGACGTATTTCAGTTCGTAAAACTGTTTGAACGTAAAAATCCGAAAATATTATACAAAGATAATAACAACACGATACCCAATAGTTTTTCATGTAATATTTTGCAATTATAGTTTGCAAGTATTAAAAAATTTTATTGAAATTGCTAAAATGAATATTGTATATTTTTCTTGTTAAGTTAATGTTGTACGTATCTAGTTATTAGACATTTACATTTCCATATGATATTTTCTCAAATTGTATACATCATTTTCCATGTTTTATCTTTGTTGTATGCTAAATACGTTATATTGATCTTTTCTGATTACATAGCCCACAGGGTTTATGTATCGTGCATACCTTTACATATCATGAATGCAAACATAAATATCCATAGCCCAGTTACAATGGAATTAATTAATGATAAAGTAGCACGTCAATTTTAAATTAGCAACATTTTAAGTGCTTCATTACCATCAACATTGCTGTTCTGTTACGTCATACGTTGTACTGGTAAATATTTTAAAACGTTACTTTATTTCAGAATGAAGATGTAGCTCGTGAAAACATTACCGAAACACTTGGTACCATGGCCAAGGTTTGCTTGCGCATGTTAGAAAATCCGTAAGTACTATAATCTAATAAATTAGAATTTTGATTATCGATCATGAAAATTTTCGATTTTACCCTGCTTAAATGAAAAAGATTGAAATTGCATTTATTTCGTAATAATTTTACTAGTAAAAATATGTTTAAAATTCGTGTAAACTGAATGAAATTTATTTTGAAGCCAGATCTACCATACTAGTTAAAATGACTGATTTAAAAATTTTATTTAAAAATTTCTATCATATTTTTTTCTGTAATTATGTAGTGACTTTGACAGTGACAATTAAAAAAATAATATAATGAATTTTATTTTCCTTTTATTTATTCAAAATTAAAGTAATCTGTGTAATGGTTACTTTTATAGTATAAAAGTAACTTAAAAATAAAACCATAATTTTTATAATAACCGGTACCTATCTAATTTTGATCTTTTTCGATCGATAATCTGATTACATGCATGAAAAACCAAATTTTCGAATATTTATGAAGATTAAATTTGTAAAAGTAAAAAATGTTTCACATATATGAATTGTTCTCAGGAATCTTCTGGCGCAGTTTCAACGAGAGGAGACTCAACTCTTTGTTCTGAGAGTGATGGTAGGGTTAGTAATCCTTTATGATCATGTTCATCCTCAAGGTGCCTTTGTTAAGGGTTCGAATGTCGATGTAAGTATAGCTTCGATCTATTATTAATATAAATGTTGGTAAAAAAGGTTATATTTAATACCGCAATGACGTTAGTTGCGTGGTCAAATGATCGTAGGATGTAAAAATAATGCTGTAATTAAGGATGTAATTTAAAAATAAGTAACGTGGTGATTCATAGCAAAGTATGTCGATATACATACGCTTTAAATATTTATGCTTAACACTATTTCTACCACAATTTTGTGCATACCTATTTCGATCGAAAGGTGTCTTTTGATACCTTTTTGTTTGAATGCAAATAATTGACAAAACTTGGGATTTTAATTTATCAAATGTAGATAATTTGAGGAATTATTGATACATAGATGTGGTTTTATTAGAGACTATCAGATTGTAAATTCTAACTTAATTCATCAATCTACAAAATATAAATATAAGATGTACTTACACTAAAATGCAACATGGCGGAACATAAGCGAATATCAGAGTTATGCCGCAACTGTATTTTCCATTACTATTGAAATCGGAATTCTCTAATCTGATTATAAGGTGAAGTGGGGTAAGTGCAGACGGGTTTTTGTAAAGGTGGTATTTAAACGTAAGTATTTTCAGTCTGCTATGTAAATACTTAACGCTGTCGATATCGAACGCTTTGCGCAATTACTACTTTTTAATTAATATTAACTAGGACCTTAATTTTCCTTGTACATTTTGATTTTGATCGGAAATTGTTTAAAATGTCAACTACTCTGCACTTTCCCCGAAAATGGGGTAAGAGCGTAACTTGAAGTGTAATACTTTGAAACATTATTTCATGTGCAATGGGGCAAAAGCAGAATTATTAACAAATCTGCTATAAAATGCTTTTTACTGCATTATGCAAGTGCTCTATACTGCAAAAAAGTACTCTTAGCTGAAATATAAAAGGGGATATAGTGAAACAAAACAACGAAACAAACAAACTATATGAAGAAATTTCGCTCATATTGTAATAAAAATAGCCTGTATACGCACTTGCCCCGTTTACGAACTTACCCCACTTCACCTTAATTGATATGATGGCACAAAATGGTGTTGATATTTATATGTAAAATGGTTTAAAATAAGGCACTGTGAAATCCTTAAGGTGTCAAAAAACTAGAATTAAGGATACCATATGCATATTTTTAGATTTAGAAGCTGGAAACAAATGATATCGCTGAATTAATTTAACAACTATTGTATGAAGAGTCAGAAAATTAATTGTGGAGAAATGATTCAACTTAGGAAATAATTTTAAGTCAAAATTTGAAAAGTGTCTAACACCTCTTGGTAGAAATAGTGTTAAAAAATAGACTTGTTATTTTCAAATTTACAGTTTATAAAAATAGATAGTTCTTATAATTTAGATTCGGTTTTCAATAGTAGTTACTCTGACTAATATTAGCAACTTTAAAATTAGTTTCTAATTTCTTTAAATCATTCCGATCTGAATTCTCTTCATATTCGGATTCTACTATTACCATCAATTTTCATGGATCCTATTTCCATAAACGTAATAAAAATAAAATTTCTCGGAAATGAAAATTTTATTCGATTGATGTTATTATTACTTAGACAAGTATTTTTATTTTCTTATTATTACCAGCATCACTTTAGATGCATTATTTTCGTTGAAATCATTCGGAGCCATATTTTTCTTAATAAAATAAACTACAATTCGTTATTAATTTTCAAATAACAGTTAAATTGTTCAGAGATTTTGTGTATCGACACTAAAACAAACATCGTGTTGACTTCGCTGAATATTAAGTAATTTAATTAGAACTTGCAAGCTGATCATAGGAGCAATGATACGTAGGACCTACAGATCTTAGCTCATACGTATGCCACTAATATTATACATTTTGTAGTTTTTTACAGTATTGTATTACTAAAATTTTATAATATAAAAACTCGCACTGTTTTCAAAATAAACATCTTTCTCATACCGTTAGTCACCTAAACCGCCGCCCAAATATTAGGAAATTTCAATTATTGTCACTATAAATTACTTACAAATGAAAATCAAGTGATCTATTATCATCATATCATATCCAATATTATCTATTATTATCATTAAATTTTATCTATTACTATCTTGCCCCCTTTCAATATAAACAGCTTATTCTCAGTTCTAACTGGCGCAGTTGACAAATAAATCATATCACGAGAGGTTATGTTCTTGTTACATTAATCGAAACAACAGGTGCCAGAAGTATTAAATAGCTCTCTCATAAACTTGTTATTGTTACTATTTTGTTCATTTTCATTCTCTTCAGAAGTGAACTTTCGTTCACCTTCATTCTATTGAAATGGCTATTATAAATATAAATGACTAATTTCAATATAAATGGTTAATTTTCAGGTTAAAGGCTGTGTAAAACTACTAAAGGAACAACCACCCTGCAAAAGCGAAGGTCTGCTAAACGCTCTTCGTTACACCACCAAGCATTTGAACGAAGAGAACACACCGAAAAATATCAAGAACCTGCTAGCCGCATGATTACCAAAACAGCGCGGCTGCTGTATCAGAAGTTGAGACAGTTGGCTGTTGATATCCTAGAACCAGAGCAATGAGCGATACATCCATGTTGTAGCGCCACGAGGATGCTGAAGATGTTCTCACGTTTAACGTGATCCAAGTAACCTGTTCCTGATCGTGGCTGGGTGGTGGACCACAGAAGTGTCTTTCTTATCGAGTCTATGATAGCTGTCCGAAAACTGCCGACTTTTCAACAACAACTTTGACAAATCTGAAGGTAGAAAACCGAACGAGACGATTTTTAATCGCACAGTGGGCCAGGAACTGATCGTGACCATATTCTGAGACATGTTATCAATTATGCTACACATATTTGTCTCATAATTTGACACATTTGATACCTTTAGAGAAATGTTTCTAGGGTTAACAAATCTTATTCTGTTCATAATTATTTTTCATTCTTGAAAGTGACAGCAGATTTGTTGCTAATATATTTACATATATTTTTGTCTAGATTGTTTTTGATCGGTAGCAAGTATTAAAAATTTGAAATTCAGATTGGTGAATGGAGTATATGAAAATTTTGTGGTCTCTTTATTGTTTAGTATTGCACTGATATAAATAGTTTATGGATTTTTAATAAATCTATTGGTGTATTATGCATAAGTAATTTTAAATATTGTAACATAGGTTAAACATTCATATCTAAATTAATATTTGGTCCTGAGACTCCATGAAAAGGAATATTTTGAAGGAAATCATGTTAGCAAATATGAAGCTTGAAAACCGATCTAGTAGTTTCAGTATTAAAATAATTTTTTTCAGTATTGAAATCTGACTGATTTAGTAATTTTAATATTAAAATCAAAAAAATCATTCTGATCATGAAAATTGACAATTTATTATGACGAGTAGAATGAATGTTAGATATTTTAAAATTTGTCCTAAATAACATTGAAAGAGACCATTTTGTTTATGTTGCATTATGTTAAAATGAAGTTTCATAAATTACATATCATCAATGTCAAATAAATGAACAGTATCCATTATTATTAGTTTCCAGTATTTCAGATAGTTATAAATAATAAATTTCCTTTTCCGAAGAATTATTTGTTCTAAAGGAGGTTGTGTACGATTTTAAAGGAATTATTATATATTGATAATATGAAACACAGTATAGCATGATTAAAAGAAGTTTAACAAAACTATGTTAAAGTAAAAATATATCTGATGTTGAATTAGAGATTAAAATATTGTACCAAGTTTATCAATGATTTTAATAGTAAAATTAATGTTTGCTTATTAATTTATTAATTTTTGTTTATCTAACAATTTGTAACAGTTTATATAACAATTTATTGTATATTATTAACGATTTCATTAACTATTACTAATTTATCTTTGTTCATCTTAGTACCTCAAAATTAAAAATCCACTCTTCCTAAGTGTTAAAAGCGTCGAATACAAAATGACTTTTTTTAAACGTTATTTATTAACTTGTTTAAAAAAACGGACAAAAACAAGCATGTACAATAAAATATAAAGCATGAGCTACACATTGAGTTACTACAGGCTATTACTGTTTTAAACATCGTGATTGAAAAAGGAAAGTAATATTTTAACATTAAATAGTAAAATAACCAAATTTTGATTTTTATGAAACTTTGTTGTGATATGCTTATAAATATTAAGGTGGTTATGTTTTTTTTTTTCAATAAAAAAAAATATCGTTGTTGCATTATAATTAAAAATGTACTGTGTATGTCTGCCAAATTGTCATACAAATCAATGAAGTCATTCAATATCACTCCCCGTTACCAACTTACCAGACACACACAATACCTCCAGTAAATGTTTATTCTGTACTGCACATGTTAAGCGCTATTTTCAATGCGGTTTATTGCAATCTTGAACGCAGTTCATTGCAATTTTAAATGCACATTTCAAACGCAGTTAATTGCAATTTTGAATGCAGTTCATTGCAATTTTAAATGCACATTTCAAACACAGTTAACTGTAATTTCGGATGCATTTTTCTGCAATTTCGAATGCAGTTTTCTGCAATTTTGAATGCACATTTCAAACACAGTTAATTAAGATTTTAAATTGACACAAATGCAGTTAATTGCAATTTTAAATATAAATTTTCATCATCTCTATCAATTACCTATATTTTTTATACAGTTAATTTTGTATTTTAAACAAATTTTAAAGATACTACATTAACCACCTTAAATAAAATTTGCAAGTAAATTAACAAATCCTGCATAGCGTAGCAAATCACATTCGAGACAACCTCAACTTTATAAGACTGCATTTATTTATTAAATCATTTTGTACCTCGTTTATAAATTAATTATTGCTTTTTGATTTTCTGTTTTGGCCACGAAATCTCTCGGCCCACTGTGCATCGGAGGAATTGCTGTACGCGTTTATTGACGTTACGAAAACATTTGAACATTATTATTAGTCACCACTTTCATTATCATCGCTATGATTACGATTCTTCATGTTCATTCAAGTATTATCCTAATATCACCGTGTCTTCCCGAAGCGGGGGATCGAGTTGATTACAGCATATCAGTAAGGTATTTAGGATAATTTTTATTGTGGACATTCGAGAGCGTTACGATTAAAATAACGTAAGGTTTTTTTTTGTTGAACGAAGAGATTTCTTTGTTGAAAGCGTCGATTATAAAGAGGATATTTATGGAAAATTGCGATCTTTACTTCGTTATGAATTATCTCTACTTCGTTCTGTTAATGCGAATGAATTTTATGTCTGTTTCGACTGCAATTGAGCTCTTCCATAAAAATTAACCCTCAAACACTATCGTTATTTTGACCCGTTTACTCGAGGATTTGAATGCTGAAACATACAGAAAATTTAAGATATCTTTTAACGAGCGATATATTTTTTGCATGATCTTTGCAAATCTTTTGTATTTTGCATATTTTATTTCTGTAACTGGGTCAAGCCACAATTTTACGAGGGTTAACTTCCTTTTTTCAATATATTTTAGTTGTACACAGCATAAGTTTATGGAATAATGTTCATTTAAAATTCGAATTTACCGTTTTTCTTCTAATTGCACTTACGAAGTCTACACGTTTCTGAATGTAGTTTTTCTTGCATCAAGAATACCAAATATTACGCAATTTTATTATTCAGTAAATCGTCTCGTTTATAAACTGTTTCGTTTACTGTTGTTAAAGTTTGATAATTGAGTAATTAAAGTACTCTTTTTACATGTTTTTAAAAAGTAATCATAGTTACCAATACTGCCCACAATATATCGAAAATTTGTATAAATATTTATCGTTTCGTATTTTGTATTTGAAAACAGATTTTCCAAATCATTCGCTAGTTGAAAAATTCAATTTTATATGACGTTGTTTTCATACAAGTAGAATCTTCTTGTTTGTATTATCTAATATATTTAATTAAAGACAATTATATGAGACTCATAAAAGATATTAATATTTTATTCACTTTTGTATAAACATTTACTTTATAAGATTTATTAATAAGATTTATTGTTCTTTTGTTTAAATTGTCTTCCTTTTTGCATGCGTTTCAAACCTTTATATGTGTATCGTGCACAAATTTTTCACAGATAGTAATAAATATTCTTTCGGTGTTGAAGTTTGAAAGCACAGTCCTTTCCCAGAGATTTTCCACGTCAAAGCAATAAGAAAGGAAGCTCAATTTTAAGTTCAATTATTTTGACAATACTTGTACAATATTTATATTGCGTGTAGAATTTAAAGGATCACAACCGATATTAATAATATTTATAAGTATTTCGATTTGTATATTCCTTCGGACAATCCTGTTAAGAACGGTTAATCGAAATTTTATTTCGTTACTAACGGGGAAAGGAAAAAATGTTGCACTAAAGAATTCTAATGTTTACTGTAAGGAAAATGTTGCTGGTATAGTTTACGAAAGTGTAACTGGTTTTCATAATCGCGTTAACAATCAGAGCTCGAGGTTTGTTAGGATTTCTTGTTTCTAAAGTTTTAACGACATTCGTACAAAAAGAACAACGGAGATGCGCAAAAGCTTCACGAACGAAACTATAGTGTGATGTATCGTACGAATATATTGAAGAACACAATTCTCAGCGTATAAAATGAGGTAAATTTTGCGTATTTGTAAGAGTACCTGTGTGTGACTGAAAATACGAGTATACAAACATTTTTTACGTACAAAGTGAATTATATTATATTTGATTACCGTTGACTTTCCGTAAATATTATATTAGTCACCATTGTTTTACCAGAAATAAAATTTAAGATCTTCCTTCAATTATACGTATAAATAATTTACTTGTAACGTAATGTAACGATTTTTGAAAATGAACGTTATTAACAGATATGTTGTGTATAGAGTTTCTGTTTATGAACATATTTATATTTAAATAACACTTATAACCAATATTTTAAGATTATTGGACTATAGTATCTATTTACAAATATTGTTACTTGGAGATGAAATTGTAGAAATCCTGAAGTTAATAAAACATTATATAAATACCCTGTGTTCAATAATATTGTTCTATGAACAATAGAAAATATAAATATATTAAAAATATGTATAGAAAATATAAAAGATGTTTTGAAAAAGAAAATAACAGATATGTCATATACAATAAATGATTAATATACAATCAATAAGTAAAATGCGTATTAGGTACAAAATGATTGCAAATAAAAATAGTGACATATTTCAAAATAAGAATATTAACATTATATACATATACTATACTAAATTTACTTTGTACTGACTTATGAAATTCTATATTGTATTCATCTGACTGACAAGGGACCATCCCGAAGTGATAATTTCCGATTTTTATGAAATTTGGATATAATGTAGTTCTTGAAAAAATATTCGACACGTATTTTTTTTTAGCTGCCATCATTCATGTTAAGGGGGTGAAAATAGCCCTCAAAGTGGGGGTGAGAATCACGTTTTGTGAAATATCTCGGGAACCAGTAGAGCTAGAGGGATGGTTTAAATTGCAAAGTTGTGTATTATTTAATGCGGATTCCAACTGTGTCAATGGATTTTTAAAAATCTCATTTGTTTAAATAATATATTAAAAAATGACACTTTTTTGTTAATTTTTCTATTTAAAAGTTGTTGTATCTTCTCGTAATTTTTTATGTGAAAAGTAAGTAAGTATAGTTTTATACTTACTAGTAAGTAAGTATAAAATACGGATAAAATGGAATTTTCATTTTTACATTGTAAATATAGTTAATTATGAAAATTACATGTTCACCAAGTTTACGTAAATCGATAGTATGTTAATAAAAGAATTAAATGTGCAGCTTTATTTAAAAATGTAAAGGTGACATTGAAATCTTTTATGTCTCTATTTATATAAAAATCATTTACATCATAATAAATTTTAATAAATTTCTTTTTCAACAAATGGTCTCAAGGTTCTAAAGAAATTAAGCTGGTTTGTTGCAGAATTAAATACAGTGTTGAATAGAATACAACAATCTTAATTTATTATTAAGGAATATAATAGCAATAATGGTTCTAATAACAATATGGAATTGGTAGATGTACAAAATATATATACATTTATAACAGTGTAGCAGAATTAAAAGAAATTGAAATTTCATTAGATTCATTTATAAATGTTCATTTTCAAATCATTTTTCAAACAAGGAATAATATTAATTTTATTTTTTACTGCCAAAAATGTGTTATGTAATTATAGCATCAACTGATATAACAGAATGTAATACGATAAAATAAGAAGACTGTTGTTACGGATAGAACTGGCCAATTGAGGCATTTCAGAGCATGGGATGAGAATTTAAAGATAAACATAAGATTTAATGAATTTAGCGGGGTTTTCGGGGACGACTGGTCAAAAGCAGCAGGCATGGCGAGTTTCCATGCCTCGAAGCCCTACGTGCACGGGGAAACCTGTGGCCGTATTCGTCGAACACCATGAGTGTCTCGGCATGAAAGACACCATCGTAGCACCGGGGGTAACCAATCCGCCCGGGAGTGGTGGTGCTCACCAAAACACCGAGGGCCACTCCGCTCGGGAGAGGTGAGAACCCGGGCGGGGGCGAGCTTGCTTGCCCTGCGCTCCGGCTAGCTGTCTGCGGGATCGGTCGCACTCGAAGACGATAGATAATTAATTTTTCTAAGAAATGTACACGTGCGTGGTGCACGTGGCAATGGCACGTGGCAAAAGTGGCACGTGGCACATGCTCTGAAATTCCGAGAAAAATGCCAATTAATAAGTATTTGATCCACCGCGAAATGCCGGCGAACCCAGGTGCG